CCATAGCAGGTTACACTGTACCTTCTTTGCATGGGGAAAACGGCTTTTCTGTCGATATAACTTCAAAACTATGATAAGAGGGAAATATAGACTATCATTATAGTTCTCACTTATTGTTAAAATTTGGGCCCCTTAAAATTGTCAGGAAACCGTTTATTAACAGCGTTTGGCAGAGGTTATTATGAGTGATTTGGAATTTCTCCCTTTTTCGTCAGCCAGGCGTTTCATTTTTACCCTCCACTATTGCGACCAGTTTTCTAGGCACTTTCTTTTGTTTTAACTCTCAAAGGACCCATCATGTCGGTAAGTTCAATGGTATATTCTGACAAACGGACTCCAAAGCGCTAGTCGCCTTCTTCAGTGAGATCATTATAGTTACACAAGGGAAATATCCGCATTCGCTACTGTTTTCGTATCAAAGTGGTGACTGATGCAACCCTCATTGGTATCCGTGACCACTAGCCGAAAATGATGGCATTCCAAGCTCCACGTCACGAAACCAATTCCTAAATGGGTTATAGCCATTATGACAGGACAAACACTGGGACAGACGTCAGGCTCCTACATTCCAGCCTCATCGATTGCTAAACACCTACTAAATACAGGTCAACATTTTCGATTCGGACTTGGCGTTTAAAGTTAGCTACCGCAATACAACCGCTAAAATACGCAGGCTAGCAGACGCAGTGGCCATTAACCGCAGTCGTCCTGACGCTTGTGTGCAAAACCAGCTGACTGTCACACTTAAACTTCCTTGGGCATCGTGATACTCGTTTCACAATTTGTGCATCTGGTGTGGCTTGGGTCTTAATGTCCCTTCTCTCTGTTAGCCTTCGAAGCATTGATTTTCCCTCTATGATCGTTAGGTATGTTAGTAGTTTACATGTGATTGGACTGCATGAAATGATATCATCTTGCAACTCGCGTCTTCTCATGGTATTGTGTAGAATAATTATTTCGTATTGGGGACTCACTTGGACAACCGATGGAGTGGGTAGTTGTCTCGTCCCTCTTTTAGCAACTATGATCCGCATTTCCTATCATGGTCGCCTTAGTCATAGTCCTTAATTTATAACAGTGATTCCCTGTGAGTTGCGAATGTGGGACAGATAATCTCGGGTCACTGACGGATCAGCTATTTTCTGTCGTTACTTTGTATCAAACCTGCATGTTAAATGGAAATGCGTAGCAACCAAGCAGCTTGCTGGGTAGGACAATGGATACAATTAAGAATAACAACCAATGCATTTGTTCTTGCAATTTTGCTTTCGTAACAGGAATGAGGCCCACTCGACGATAACTTGCCCAGTATTACCTTTTCTAGTCATTCTAGACACTTTTTGTTTACGGCTCTTTTACCTGTCACGGGTAAATGACAGTGGATCTGTGCTTTTCACTTCTTAACTCATGTACTCATTTATTAGGTATGCTTTTGGTCGTCAAAATTTGTATCTTTTGATCGCCTTTTTTATTTGCTAGGCAGGACTACTGTGACACGTGATTTTCGTTTCAAGCAAATACTGTGAGCGAATCGCATAACACGAGCGCAGAGTCCGGAGATGCGTCGCGCAGTAAATATGGGCCAATGTGTCAACGACTGATTGAGGTTACGTCCATCTTAGTGGTCCAAACCCTTATAAAACATGCTAGAACATCTTATTGTGTGGTTAAAAGAAAACATACGACGAAACAGCAAATAGTCAGCTTTACGCAATGTCGCTACGTGATGTGCTCACCTATTCTTGTCACTTTAAACCAAACACTTTGCTACTTACTTTAGCCGCAGAGATCATTGATTAAGGAGCTGTCTGTTGGGATTGAACAGGCACCGGCACCTCTAATCACCCATCTCTTTGAACTTACTAAGCTTTCAAAACCAACAGAATCACTTAAAACGGACAAATTTCCCAGCACAGTGAATCTCGTTTTCAAATAAGATTTTATATGGCTCTAGCTTTCCATAGTTGCCTACGTAATCCGCCAGCTCCCAAGGATTTTAATGGACTAAAATAAGCAAAAGTTATCGCTTTATGTGTTAATAATGTAAGCAGCCATGCTAGTCTGAAACTAGTTAAGCCCCGGCTCCACACACATGCACACAAGCGCTGATCAAGTTGTGTCATAAACCGTTAGGTTACCGTTAGATGGTGCATCACAGCGCACTATGTGCCGAAAACTAGTTCAGGTCAGTTGTGAAAGCAGTAACGGCGATTGCAACATAATGGCAATCCGAAACAATCGATAAATGATTGCCGGGTTGAGGGTTGATAGAATATCTTCCCGGAGTTCATTTTATGTAGGAACTCGTTACTTTCTTGGGCACAACGAATGACCATACTATTGTATCGTAAAAGTCTGGGTAACCACAACTTCTTTGATTCGGACGGTGGCAAAACCAACACTATGTGTTTGGATTCGCCTAGTCCAACTTTTGTGCCTAGTCAATGGTTCATTCATTTAGAATTTCTTCAGTTGTATTTTATGTTTCTTCCTGCTAGCCTGTTGGTGCGCTATGAAACTTCCTGTTTCATGGGGTATTTGCGCACAACTCTCCGGTTCACGGATAAGAATACGATCAGAGGTTCCTACATACCCTCAAACTTGTTCTCTGTCCAAATGATCACTCGTTTTCTTTGGGTGGGACTTTTATCAAGTAATCAGAGCTCGAACGTCCGAGACTACAGCTACTCATGGGGGTTCTGGATCATAAACACCATGTAAACTTTGCGTGTCAAAAACCCCAAGTTACGGAGAGCACACATGACACCAGCTCAACGAGGTCTGAATAGCTAGCTCGTTTAACAAATCAGTCGGATGAAGCGACTGCAGTCACGAACCGTCATTTTAAATGAGTGAAACGGATTTGTTGAGCATGTCGAGTGATGTCGCACAAGTGCCAAAGAAAATTCCAGTCTCCCTGCGATTCTGCTTTCCATGATTTTCATTCTGCAAAGCTCATTTTGTTATCTTCCTCCTTACATACACATTGTAGATGATTGAATCATATAAACTGGTGACCGCATGTAAGCTTGGATTACAGGTGTAGTAATTATTTTCGCCGACGAAATGTTTTCCAAGTTTAGAAAATAACAGTATATGATTCTGTACACAGGTTTCGTCTGTCGTAATCAACTGCGACCACAGTGCCAGTACTCTCTTTGCCCAGTCATAGCCCCATTGATAATTCGCATTCATTTCTCATTTTGCTCCCTATTTTGCGTGCCTCACCTCAGTAAACATAAATCAGTCCCGATGCATGTCGTTTTTATCTCCCTAGAGTTAACGGCGACTAAGTCTCCATTAACTGGGGTGAAACAACCGACAGCGGACTACGCACACATTTGGGAGTTTAACAACCCTTCTTTCAGTGGTTGTCCCAGTGAGCTCCAACCTATCGGTTTATTACATTTGTGAACACCGCCTATCCAGACGAGGGTCTCACGCTTGGTTTGTGAACGTATGTCAGGACTTCCGGTGACGAGTTCTATTAATCCGTACAACGATTGTGGCTATCCACGAGATCAGAGGGCGTTTAGGTACACAAGTGTGCGCTTACCTCTCGGTGTGTTGGGGCGTGTGGTTCGGTGGGAAATTCGTTGGACGCATTAGGTCGCCTCTATTGATGAGGCTGGAGCATTAGCTATAAAACTGTTACCAGACGTCTACTGTAAACCAGTCTGTCAAAAGCTCAACGTAATACCAGACTGCGAATACCACCACCTTTTGCTGCGTGTGAGGCAACGATCTCCCCTGTTTGTGCCTTTCACCAACGTCCATGTACCTAACTATTCTTTTAATGAGATGCGCATTACTGCTGCCTGCGAAATTGATTACCCGTATACTCACTAGGCATTTACATAGCCTATAATTTAATCGCATCTGAGAATATCACCGGGCCTTGCGACTAAATGTAGCGATGAGTAGCGCTGTTTTTCGAAAGGAAAAGCAACTGTTCCACACTGATGCCTATTTTTATATATTAATCAATACATGAATCAATACGGAAGACTTAATTACGCAAATTAGTTTACACACGTCATTATGGTTTCAACTTCTGTTTATTGTGGTAACTATCTGGTAAACCGGTGAGCTCCGTCTCTATTCGGTTGTCTTGATTCAATGGTTGTCTTAAACGATAGCTATTTCCCCCTGCTTCCGAGATTTTCAGTGCTCTTTAAAAGCGTGACAATGATTGTCGAGAACAGTCCGTATGCCAATTGCAACCCAGTGGCTGAATGACATCTAGTTTGGCTAGAGAATGAATATTTAAATACAGTTTTCACTACAAACTGTTGACGCATTATATAGCACTTTGCCTCGGAAGAGACAATATTCAATAAAAGTGTTTCGTGTGTGTGTTTGAGCGCATTTGCTAGTATCCTTCATTTTACAGAGCAGTAGTAAAAGTAGTTGAATAGTCTAGGTAGAAATTCATCACATCTCGACTCAGTCAGACACCCCCGGCCGTTTCATCCTTTCGGGAATCGTCAGTAGTACGCATTCCATCGGACCCTGGTAGGGCTCGGACCCGCAACTCGACTGTTGCCAGTCAGTGGTTGAGACCACTGAGCTACGGTGGACAGCAACGACTGTCAATACTTAGTTACTAAATGTGACATAACGCCACTCACTATCCATTGACTTGCACGTTATTTCCGTGCAGAAGACAGGGTAGCCCCTCACCTTGTTTAACTGAAATGCGCATTGCTAACGATTCTTGAAAGGAGGAAACGGGCGTACAGTGCTTTTCCGGGCATGTGATGGTTATATAAAGGAGTCTAGATGTGATGAATTTCTACCTAAACCATCATTTTGTCTACAGGGTTTTACAACCACCAGGGTGTCTCGCTGCTCTTCGCTACACACGGTATCCCATGGCTCGGGCTGAATAAAGGTGGAAGCTCGAATATCTAATCCAGTTTTAGTCGATGTTAAAAGGACGCTGGTGTAATAATCATTGTTCACTTTTGGCATACTTGGACGTAGAATCTCTGTAGCTCATAGAAACATCCTTTATATTGTCGTTTATACAATATAACAAGCGTAATAATTAAAGCACTAATTGAAATGTAGATAATTAGAATTAAATCGTGATCGTTGTTAAGATTCGGACTGTTTATTACTCACCACAATAGTCGGTCCACGTGGTCACCACATATTTACTGGCCCATTTCCAGTATTCCCGGTTTCTTGTATTAAATAGTTTCAGATATGAAAGACATTCACTGTGGGTGCGCGCGCCAATATCATCGAGTATGGTTACAAAGGACATCTCCAGCTGTGGAAACATTTCTTTAGAGTAGTGCATGTTTTCAATATTGAGAATGGCACACATCTTATTTCTGCACGAGAATTTGCTTCAGGGATCTGTACATACTGACCGGTGGGTTGACATCCGAACTGAGATACTGTGTGCCGACATCGACTTTCACAGCCTTACAGGGTCCAACAACAGCCGTATCAGTTTGAGTAGCTCGATCATCCAAGTTACCTTTCGGCAACTCAACCTGTATGGCGCGGTGTCGCTGAGCCCCTTTCGGTGGGGGTAAAGACTTAACCAATTCTGGTCCCGTTTGTACATAAATATTCATTCTTCTCGATGCCTCTGCCTTGGCTTCCGCAGCCAACTCTTTCTCTGTGATTACGCGACCCAGTTCCAATCGGCCTAATTGAAACTTTCCAAGGCACGACTTCCAGTAAGCTGTCCGGCAGTTTGCACTGTATTCAGGCCCAGTAAATGAAGAAGGCGAAGCAGACTGACTTGAAACCATTCCACTGTCTCCGTTCTGTAGTAGATTGCTCTCAGCGGTCTTCAGATGTGTCAGGAAAGGCTGTCTAGCCAGTTCGATATTTAGAGGCTCTGAAGCCGACTGAAGGCAGTGACTCACACGATCCAATATCGGACCCGCTTCAGTTAGTGCTTCGATGGGATCCATCAAGTCGAGACGGCAACTGACCCGATCATCATTGAGGAACTCATACCACTCGTTCGTTACATGAGTCAAACGTTCGCATTCTTGGCTTAGTATTTCTAAAGGTATTCCGGCCAGCTGATTCACTTTATCGTATAGATCACGCTGCTGACGACTCAACTGATCCATGAATGCTTTAACACCCCCATCAATAGTTGTGTACAGGACACGCATCTCATATTCGCACACTTGCAGTCTGTTTAAAAGCGATTCAATTTGCGTGATGTGCGACTGAGTGGTTGCACTGTCTCGGCTTAATTGGTTTTGGTAGGCAACCACCGCCTCTCTAATGGACAATATTTCGTGTTCCGCGTGTCCAATCGGGCCCTCCGAGTCACCCTCGCTCGACTCGAACGTGCAAACGATGCAGATGTGAGTGCGACATGTGAGGCAAAAGAAACGACGATGTTCTCTAGGATGCCGGCTACATTTTAGGTCTTCCATTTGTTCTACGCGAATCAACACATGGTTGGCTGTGACAGACATGCTTGCATGCATCTCTCGACAATCTGTACACAGACGCTTTGCACACTCAAGGCATGCGACACTGGCTGGTCTAGGGCCGCTTGAATGACCCAATTTGTCCACGGTGCTAGTTGCAGTTCGCCTTCTAGGTCGATGACTCGCGTTCTTTTGCTCGGCGAGTCTTTGACGAGAGTTGTGGCTTGAATGCGATCTATCTTTCCCATTACAAAGCGAATTGATTCGGTCATCAGTATCAAACGAAGTGGAACTGATTCCATCCAAACTAAACAGAGTTTCCGTCTCATCACCATCGTCCTCTGAATTGTCCATATCTTTGGCAAATCTGCCACGAGTAGAAAACTGCGATTGAAAATGATGTTTCTCTTTGGGACTGCGCGGCTCCTTAGAATCGATAGGTAACGGTCCGTTACCAAGAAATGGTTCCTTAGTGCACACATCACACACAGGGAACGTTGGCATACGATCAACCATGGAGGCTAATTTGTCAGCCAGTTGATCCGTCGGTAAATCGGCTACGCCACCTGCGGGCAACGCTGTCTCTTTCTCACATAATGGGCATGGTAGACTTTTTGGTTTCGGGTTTAAAAATGGATACCGGAGTGCATTGTAGTTGGTGGAATCGTAGCCGCGTTGAAATTTCGAGGACCACTTTTTCCTGTATGGACTTCGATATTCGTTGGAGTAGTTGGAAGATGCATAATAACGCTTGACAGCTTCGAGTTCTTTGGCCTCATTTTCGGCGTCTATTTGCGCAACTAGCTGCTCCAAACACGACTGGCAGAATGTGTGCAAGCAGACGAGTACCTTCGGCTTTCGATATGTCTGGTGACATTGCTTGCATGTTAGAAAATTCGCCTCGAGGCTCTGACGAATCTCCATGAGATATGGGAAAACTAACCCTATGAACGACTCCACCACGATGGAGGTATGTATGTCACTCGTTGTCACAAGGTCGATTAAAAAGTCGGATGACTAGCGCTTCACAAATGGCCGTCGGCGGTACGAACACAAAATACCTGGCAAGTCAGGTCATACGGGGAACGAATGGCTGCGAATCACTTTTCCCGACTACGTGCGTTCACTCGTCTCTGACCGAATAGTTAGAAGACCGATCACCAGCTGTCGGTCCTTCAGTTGGGTCTTCATGATCGTGGTACACTTTCCGCCCACGCCGCAGTTGAGGGAGAATTTTGTTTATCGGTTTTCTTCAAGCATATCCGGTGCAACATGTCTGTCCACACTCGCACCAGTTGATAGCACATACTTGGGGGCGGGACCAATGGGAAGACATCCTGAGGTCGCTAATCCATTTGGGGCCGGGGGTGGGGTGAAAATTGTACGGCTTCGAGTAGTCCATCTAAGAGTACGATAGGATGACGCCCAAAACAGATGCATGCCCTACACCTATTACTCGCACTTAGACGACAGATGGAGCTAGCATAGCCTTTGAACGCAATTTAGCTAAAGTGTTGGTACAGATGGTTTATCTTGTGTTTCAGTTTTGCAACAGATAATGCGATGTTCAAGGGGGACAATCTAATCGCTTGATAGAGATTACTCGTCGTGAGTAGCGAAGACCCCACGTGTTCACATAGTGGACGCCTCTGTTGCAGCTGGAGTCTGTAACTAATCTTTTGTGCAGATTCCGCAATGCATATCTAACATATGTAGTTCTGTATGGCGTTATTCGAGACACAGGAAACCCAGATGTACTTTCATAACAGGCGACTGGTGCCCTGACTCGAGACTACGCGCTTGGGATACTTTCATGTATATATATGGATTAGCGGCATCCGTGTCCGGATCTGCCTATCACTGGGGCCTCCACGGGGACAGCCACAGGACGCCTGCTCCTGCAGAGGGACCATGGGTAGCTTGCGCTACAACACCCACAGTTCCACCTACACACTCCAAATCCGGTGTAAACCCGAAGGACTAAGACCGGGAGGCATGCGGATGGGAGCCACGTTTCATCAACGGAGCCGGCCCACACTCCTTAAACCAGAAGAACAAAAGCATTCCGACCTACTTGGGAAATCATGCGTACCAGACGTACACAAGGCGGTGGTTAGACCGTAGCCCGTTTCAAACAGGATGCATGGAGCCACCGTTTGTATCTAGCACCGTCACGAGGATAGTGCACTTCGTCTCCTCCAGCAATGACCAGCTGTCTCCTGGAGGCAGTATGGACGATGTGGTAGGTAACAGACAGGTAGGTAGCTTGTAAACATTTGCAATAAACGCAGCCAAACTGGGGAGCTCAAGCAGCATCTAAACTTTAAAACGCAAGAATACTCAACGCGCAGGCAAACGTACCGTATCAACCGCCTTATTGGCCTGGATTAGTAAATCGAATGGGAACCGACGCATCGCGGTTATCCTCCACGTGCTATAGTGTCTTCTCCTACACATGGGCAATCGCCCTCTTGTTCAGTCCACGGATTTCGCACCGATCAAATCTGCCTTTGATTCCTAACACCTGAAACGATTATTACTTCGTGATAAACTCACCTCGTTCATGTGCTGGTAAGATTATTTTCGGTTTGCCAGCGTGCCGCTTCACTGCACTAAGTTGACCGTACAAAGCTGTATGAGTACCCTAGTAGAATTCATTCGGCATACATATATACATGGATTGGCATCATCCGTGGCCAATAGCAGTTCGAATGCAACACATGCACAGACGATTGTCCAGACTTCGACATGAACTGTCACAAACTGGATAGAGACACATTAGACCACATGGAAATGGTACTACAAACATGCATGGGTCTGGTTTGTAGGTAAGGTTACCAACTATTTTCGCCAAATGATGCGAACTCGCACGTACATGAGTGAGTACCCAATAGGAACTGTCGCTGTTTTCTTTAACATTTAGACGTGGACATAAGTGACTTCCTCAAATCGTGGGCAGCAATATTTAAAAGAAACCGATATAGGGAGAGGGAAGCAACTGCCATCGGTACGGGGTCCAGGTAGAATGATACATAAACAAGAGGTGCAGTTAAGTAGTGTGTATTGAGGTGCTTTCTCCGGTATATGAAGTAGGGCTTGCGGAGCTGATGGAGGAGATTGCACAACGTGCGAACGCGATGGGGTGTTCACTTCAGGCTCTCCGTGTCGCTGTCCGCCGCTTAAGACTGGACCGGTCCGATCATTTACTGTTTGAGATCCGTGAGGATTGTCAATGAACGTGTTTTGCGCAATCCTAACTATTGACAGGTGGTAATATCACCTATTCGCCGTATATGGCGTCTTTGGCGCGACAACAACCGCAGTACTATATCAACTAAGTCCCGCTGCCCAATGTCAAACATGCGGCTTTCAGAAAAAGTACTCGTACTCTTTTGCAAATATCCAAGACATAGCATGACTGTGATCCAAGTACTCAACCGTTCGTACATATTACTGTGTACTCTGCTGTGGTAACGATCTGCCTCGTAACTTTTGGGTGCAGTCATTCGGTGCTTTTAAAACCAACCATTGTCGCTATGCGCCGATTCCTTTCTGATGTGACATATTAAGACACTGATGTACCATTACCGTTAGCATTACCTTTTTCTTAGTCTACTCAGAAGATTGACCATGTCCAATCCAACTTCTGCTAGACACCACAACGTGTTTGCCTTCAATCCCTATAGTGCCAGCGCTTTTCATAAGCATGGCTGATGAACTACGGGAAACATATGTACGCTCACTCTCATCATTAACATGTGGAGCGGAACATGAACTGTCGACATAATGATAATCGCTAGCCAATTACTTCTCGGGACTGTTCACTTGCCACGGATTTTCCAGGGCGATTTCACTTCGGATGCATGATCCAACGTGGTGAAACGAGGAACAATTGTTGAGCATTGTGTTCCAAATTGCAAACTTCGCACCTTTTATGGGTGCTGTAAGCAGCTAAGCGCTGATAACCTTTGATTCACGCGTATCCGTCCGACTGGAGACACCATAATTTACCACCCTAGCACAAATCCATATCAACAACACAATTCGCTCGGAAACTCCGTGCGCGCGCCAACTATGAATGACAGTTCATGAATAGATTGAACCCCTATCCTACGATGCATCGGCTCTCTAAGCGTCGTGCTAGTTAGTTTTGGGCAGCTGGTCGAGAAAGGGTCATGTAATCCACCAATCCATTTCAAGGAGCAGAAGGTATGTAGCAAAAGCGACAGTGACAGCCTCGCATAGTCTGGTGAGCGATACCATTAAGCTTACCTAGTGATGTAAATCATCGACGAATAATAATACGAAGAAGAAGATACCACAGCTCTCCGTCTTGGTATGTCACCGTAGTAGAATGCACCGGAGACGGTAGCATGTGTATCATAGGCCACGATGAGTACAACAGTGTAGTGGGCAACGCGTGCAATCATCACGAAATACAACCGAGTTAAGTAAGTCCAGTAAAAGGTAGGTTAGACCTGGCTCTTCCGCCTTGGATAGGTGCAATAAAAATACGATATTGTATCAAATCAGTAGTTAATCCTTCTAGAGGGAAAATGCACCATAGCGCGAGTCACCTGAGCGACAGACTAAGGATGACACAAAGAAGATTACGGAGATGGAGTAAGCAACTTTACTAATTGGCGAGGAAATGATGCGCTTAGGTCAGCTGTTTTTCATCAGCTCAACTAAGTGAATATCCGCGGTGAAGGAATAGAAATTATAGCTGTTTTCAGTTTAACGAATAAGTAAAGCTCAGTGTAACAGTGATGACTTATCGTTGGTGTTTGCTGTAAATGTCGTCTTCTATCTTAGTATAGAATGCTGTCAGAAGGTACCTCAGAGCCGGTCCGATCGTCTCTCGTCCGAGAGGTAAGCGAGAATTCACATGCATGTGGAACCGTCAGGCAGTCAGTCATGTGTGACTATGTATGGTCCCCCTTCGTTGCTCGTTCTGTGCGTTAGCATATCTCGACCAATTCATCTGTACCTAGAGTGCTGCCTGTGTCCCAGCATTTCGATTCGGATGTCACATCGTCTTGCCTCTGTCCGTGAATCAAAATTCATGATTTGTCTGAATTTCAGTGAGTGTGACTGAAGGTGACATCAATACAAGGAAGCGCACAGAGGCACTTGACCTGGCTACATTGACATTACATTGCAACTCGCAATATTTCACGGCGTCACACCAGATGGAATGTAATAATACCCATCTGTCAACGGGGAAGGTAATGCGACATGAACAGATGTTAGCGTTACCTGTACTTTGGGCGAGCCCCAGTTAGACATCGAGCCATTAGGTAATCGGGTCACGCGTGTTACAATGCAATCAATCTGTCAAGGTGAAATGTAGCGCTTACAAGTGCTTCTAAATGACTTCCACTTAGTCATTCAACACGTTGACGAGCCCCGCCCGTTGATAGTAGATATATCGGTTGGCATACCAAAGGTTCCGGGTTCGAGTTGCAGTTCTGCACGGTTGTGAGCGGGCATTCGCTCACACTTATGGATGGAAAACCACAAACGAAATGGAGAAACAGTAACGCTCATGGACAATAATACTGCGAACGTTCATAAGTTCGGATAGAATGCAAACCTAACAGCCATGTTCCTCTAGTTTTGGAAACTCACAAGTACACATATAAGCAACCAACACGACTCTCGGCGGTTAGTTAACGTTTGGACTGGAACCTAAATGGCAGCCTTAAATTTAGTCAGAAGTGTGGGCCTCAAAAATAGATAGATAAAGATATAGGAATAGGGAAGCAAATGCTATCATTGCGGCTACCAGGTGAAATGATGCACAAATAAGTGGTACAGTAACACAGTGATGCCTTATCAATTGTGCGCATTCTAGCTGCCGTCTTCTATATGTGAACTTGGGCTTGCAGATCTCATGGTAGTCTCACAGCGTGTGAATGCGACGGGTTGTTAGCTGCAGTCATTACGTGTCCTTGCCGCCTAACGCTGGACCGATCCGTCGACTCTTGTCCAAGGTATAGGGGGATTTCCGATGGAGGTACCTTGCTCTAACTTAAGCGTTAGAAGGCAGTGATATCACATAATCTCTGATGGCCTCTTTGACGCGACCACAGCAATAACACATCAAGTAAATCCCACGGCTCCCTGTCCAACATTCGGCTTGCGAAAAAGTGTTCAAAC